CCCAACAAAACAGCCTGATAGCCACTGCCACGTCCTGCTTTAAGCATGCTGGGGATGGGGGTGCACGGCCAGGGGCTGGAGTGGACGATCCCTCCGGGAACCTCAGAGACAACACGGGCACAGCCAGCAGCTCAGCTGCATACCAGCTAGATGCACAAACAGAAGGAGCTAGCTTTCTCGCTCAGTGAAGTCTACCCATTACTGTTTCCCATCGCAAAGCTGTCTCCATCCCATAATGGATCATATTGTTCCCACTCCGCAGAGGAGACTTAAATGCGGAATCAGCATTACCCCACAGGAGATGTTTTATGTACAGCAGGCTGCACAAACAGGAGAGAAAGCTTCCACTCCCTGCTCCCTAGGGCTCCAGCTCCTGGGATTAAAGAGATTTGTCCACTTAAAAAAATGTCCTTCATGCATTTGTAACTCTGCTGTTCTCACACAAAGGTTAGCGTTGAACAGATCGAGTATTTACGTACCTCACCTCTGCACTGGACAACTGGCTGTGGCAGAGGGCACGGGGAGCCAGGGCTTCTGGTCCCTGGAGGGAGCACCCCGGACTGTCTGAAATGATACTCGTCCATCACAAATACAAATGTGCCTGCTGGCTCCTGTTCAGAACGAAATCATCTCCAAGGGTCCTTGATAGCCGTGCTCAGCTCTTTTCAGCTACAGAGCGATAAATCAGCTACCTACAGAGAGCGCTTTGGAAAAGGCAAGAGAAGAGTTAAAAATAATAGGGGCTCCCTTATTCCATTACACCCATACAGCTCCTAAATCTACAAAAGCAGTAACGGATCCTACTGCATGATTCAGTGATTCTGGGAAAGCTGAAATCTTGATCATATTTTCTAGTTCTTTCTTTGCATTAGGAGACACAGGGGTTATTTTACTTATCTATTGTAGTGCAGCTTTGTTGTTTTTTCTATCTAGATATTTATACGGTCTCCATCACCATAGTATCGGAGTGTTTATTTTATTGCACCTGTCACCTTGGTCTCATCTCAGCATAATGTACTGTGGATGACAAAAGATTCCTGGTTAAACTGGTTCAGCGACATGAACAGCTTTGTCAATACCATGCAGATGTTAACAGAAGTCAGTACCAATTCAGGTGCCTCTCAGACCAGTCCTACACCGGTGTAATTGTACTGCCTGCAGTTAACATTATTTTTGGTTTGTGTTCCTGCCTGTGGCAGAAGAATTAGACCTGCAGTCTTTTCAGCCTTTTCCATAGCATCCCTTTTCTCACAAAAAACCCAAACCCAAACCAAACCCAAACAAAACAAAAACAACCCCAAAACCAAACCAGCACAGAAGGGAGACTGGTCTGCCCAGTAAAACACATTCTGCCTGTCCCTCTCCTTAACTCCTCTCTGCTCCATTCCTGTTGCATTGAAACACACAGAGAGCGCACAGGAGGAGAAGTAACCAGGGCAATAAAACCAGAAGTGAAGAGCAATAAAGCCAGAAGCGAAGAACCTAGTGGAAATGCAGATTTTTCCCCCAGAATTTCCTGAAGCAAAGCACACAGCACCAGAGGTGAGCTCCTCACAGGTTTCAGGGGGCTCTGAACTGCTGCGCGGGGGCAGGATCAGCAGTGAGAACCAGAAGCCTTAGGAAGGCTACAAATAACAAGTCTCTGGAGTCCCCAGAAGCACTGGGACGGGTTTGATGGAAGACAGCAACAAAAGCACTACAGGATCCTAGCAAAGGTGGTACAGAAGCACTGAGCACTCTGGCACATCTCCATACGTCTTGGCCGCTTTTGTCCCAGCGCTGCCCTGGCTTCCCTGGGCTGGGCATCAACAGCCATACGCGGCCACGACAGAGAATTAGGGGGTTTTGCCAACCCTGCCATCCTCTTTCTGCCGCACCTGATGACAACCCCAAGCCTCTGGGTTTGGCCATGAAATGCTGTTTTAACTGCAACCCGCAGAGCACTGCTGGATGAAGAAAGGGGCCTCCCAAAGGCAGCTGAGATGCCTTTGAGAAGGAAACACTCTATGCCAAGGTAGTGTGTCATAAAACTCTTGGGGCTAGATAAACGCCTGCAACAGAAAAGGCATCAAACTGAGTCACACAGTCACAGGTCTCGCTGTGGGCAGCTCGGTGTGCTCCAGCTCCCAGAGAGGGCTCGTCAGGCCCGCATCAGAGGGGAGATAAAAGGGGAAAAAGTACCATGGAGTGGTAGAACTTCATCTTTTGCGGATCCATGGACTGAAAGCCTTTGTATTTTTCTGACCCACTCCACTAATCAAAATGAATTGCTTCATATTTCATAGGATAACTTGGCATTATGTAAATACTCCAGCCATATGGACTGCTGCAGTGCAGATCGGGTGGAGCAGGCAGTGAACTGAGCTGAGAGGACCAAATTCACCTATGGTAAAATCAGAAGCACATTTACCCAGGCAGTCTGCAAGCTAAACCTCTCAGCGGTTTAGGTATTTCCTAACACAATACAATACCACGGAGAGAAGACAAGGATAGAACCAACAGGTAGGAGAGCCTCAAGGAGCTGGGGCTGCAGCGGCCGGGACGGTCCTGCTCGTGCTCAGGTGTCTTGGCCAAGGGAAGGTTGTGAGGAACAACTGCAGGGAGAAGCCACACGCTCGCTTCTCCGGGACTGAAGAAGAATCGGCCTTGGCTGAAGTGCTGAAGATGAGAAAAGCAGCAATTCTGATGGCCACAAACTATTTCCACCAAGGACAGACCCAAACATTACCCAGGTTTTTTTTTTTTCCCGGATTAAAAAGGAAGAAGAAAAGCAGCAATTGCTCCCCTATGCCTATAGCAGAGCTGTGCACCAACATCACTTTGCTGCATCTTCTTCCCGAGGACACGAAGCGACTTGCTGGGCCCGTCCGTGCTCCAGCGGCACCCGCCCGGGGCCGGCAGCCCTTCACCCTTCTGCCCTCCCGACGGCGAGCACTCGGCTTCGAGTC